CTGGAGACGGCGCGGGCGGACCGCTCCGTGTGGCTCATGAAGCGCTCCCCCGTCATCTCCCAGGCCTGGCACTGGCAGGGCGCCTCCGCCTCCTCCAGCGAAGCTAACCCTAACCCGGCCGTCGCCAAGGTCGTGATGTCCCTCGACCCCCTCAGCTCCGCCGAGCCCTCCCTCCAGGCAAGGATCCCGCCCCGCCTAGCACCCTGATGTTCTCCTCTTTTTTATTGGTGTGCGGATTTGTTCAGTAGAGTCGCCTCGATTGAGCTGCAGAAACCAATGGGTTGGTACGGTAGCTGTGCTAGCTGATGATCCAACTGATGATCCAACTGATGATCGAACTGGATGGCATACTACTTGATAGGAATATACTAGGGCTAGACACAATTCTGTTCATGAACAACAACCTTCCTTCTAGTATATAATTTGGGGATTATTTTGAGTCCACAGGCTAGGCTAGGAACAAGCTTGGGGAAGACGGGTCGAACTGCAGTATAATTTCTTAATAGCTGAAGAAGTGGATGTGCAAATCATATCTTTGATGCTAAATTGATTGAGTGGGTGGGTTGTTTTTCTTCGAGCGAAACCGCTTTTTGCTAGATTCAATTATATGTAATCACTGTGTTTTGCATACACTATGAAGAGCATACAGATCTTATGCAGATTGAACCTAGTACATATAAGATGCTCATTTGAAGAACTAGCTGGCATACTGCTCTGTCCTAACTGTTAATTTTTGTTCATTCTATGCCAGTATCATTCTCAGTATTTCTTGCTTGTGGTGCTTATCGTTCTTACATCATGTTATTTGGGATGGCAGTTCAAGATGGCGAAGGCTCCAACTAGGGAAGCTAGCACTTGCAGTTTACCAAAGAGTTCCTCCTTGAATATGCTCTTACTCCTCCTCCAGCTCCTCGCCATCACCACCCTCCCTTGCTCTGCCAACAACGCCACCCAACTAGTCTATGACACGGAGGGCAACGTGCTAAGTAGCAAGCAAAATTACTACATCCTCCCTGCTAAACGTGCGACCGGCGGGGGCCTCAGAGCTTTGCCTACTGGCCTGAGGTGTCTGCACTTCGTGTTCCAGGAGCGCAACGGGGCTGTCCTCGGCACCGCCCTGCGGTTCACGCCACTACCAGAACACGCTTCAGCCAGCGAGCCGATTCGCTTGTCGAGGGACATCTGGATCGAGTTCCATGATTTTGATAGTTTTTGCTCTGAAAGGCTAGATTGGCACCTTACCGATCAGGTACCGGAGTCGTCATCAGGAGAGCCTAAACACGTGGCCGCCGGCAGTGAAGAGGGCCTAAGATCGTTTGCGGTGTTCCGGGTTGAGAGGCATGGCACAGGTCTCTCGGGATATAAGATAGTTTCATGTGTTGACAAGGGGCCATGCAAAGATGTAGGTTTGCATGCTACTAAGAACAAGACGTGGCTGACCGTGAGCAATAAGCCTTTTATGGTTGTCTTTAGGAAAGAGAGGTTATAGGTGTTTTTTGTTTTGCTTGTTTCTGGTGTTGATCTGTGCGCAAGTTCATTGTATTGCAACAGGAATTGCTTCTGGCACGAGTCAAGAATGTACTGTATTCTGCATACAGTATGAAGAACATGTACTGATCTTATGCAGATTAAACTTGGTGCTTTGAAGATGCTCATTTGAAGAACTAGATGGCATACCGCTCTGTCCTAACTGTTGATTGTTGTTCATTCTTCTATGTCGGTCTCCTACTCATTTTTTTCTTGCCTGTGGTGCTAGTGCTACCATTCTTACGTCATGTTATTTGCAATGACAGCTCAAGATGGAGATGCCTCAAACTAGGGAAACTAGCAGTTGCAATTTACCAAGGAGTTGCTCCTTGAATATGTTCTGCCTCCTCCTCCATCTCCTTGCCATCACCACCCTGCCTTGCTCTGACAACAACACCACCCAACTGGTCTATGACACAGAAGGCAACGAGCTAAATAGCAAGTCAAATTACTACATCCTCCCAGCCAAACCTGCGAGCAGTGGCGGCCTCAAAGCCGTCCCGACCGATCTACGGTGCCTACATTTTGTGGTCCAGGAGCGCAGCGAGACTCTCCTCAGCACACCCCTGCGATTCACTCCGTTGCCAGAACATGCTTCTGCCACTGAGCCGATCCGCCTGTCGAGTGACATATGGATCGAGTTCCACGACTTGAGAAGCTTTTGCTCTGATGTGCTAGATTGGCACCTTACCGGACAGGTGCCGGAGTCGTCATCGGGAGAGCCTAAACACGTGGCCGCCGGCAGTGAAGAGGGCCTAAGATCGTTTGCGGTGTTCCGGGTTGAGAGGCATGGCATAGATCTCTCGGGATATAAGATAGTTTCATGTGTTGACAAGGGGCCATGCAGAGACCTAGGTTTGCATGTTTATAAGGATAAGACATGGCTAACTATAAGCGATAAACCTTTTATGGTTGTGTTTAGGAAAAGGACTATATAGGTGTTTTTTTGCTTGGACCACTGATTAAGTTTTTGATCGCAGGTGCTCGTGATATTCTGACGTGACAAAACCCAACCAGCAGAGTGCAATATCACTGTGCAGGCCGGTGCTTACCCATCTCTGAGCTATGACTGCTTTCTAAGAAAAGAAGGGTATGGCAAGTGCCCTTGGCCAAAAGTTTTTGTCTGTGCGTATTAGTCGGTTTTGATGTTAGCCATCCTCGGGAAAGTTCCAACGCTGGTTTGGTTCACTAAAATATTTAGCTGCACCTTTTATATCAATCTGTGCAATATAATCTTTCCCCAATATCTTCCCATGACAAGGTCGCACGCATATTTCAAGATATAAAGCTGGCATAATGCATAAGAATGTGCAATTGCTTAAATACCCATTACAAACGCACATAATCCGTCCGTGGTTACATCTTTGCATTCCACGGCACAATGGTCATGTGAGGCTTAGTTAGTTATAGGAGCCTAGGATGCATAGCAGCTAGTTAGGAAAATATTTTCATGGCTCGCAGTCGAGAAGGCATGTCGATCTCCAAGAGCATAGAGGAGAGAGCCAAGCGTTGCAAAATGTGGATCTCCTTCGTCTCTAGATCAAGCACGGCCAGAAAATCACATGCACCATTTAATGGCCCATGCCAGGGCAGGCTTATCTGCATCAAAACGACACCTCTCCTCTCGCCCAAGGGCCTAAGCCAAACATGAAGATACCAGTGGGGAAGAACCCTGGGGTCTAGCGACCATAGCTTCTTCTCCACATCGATCACAGTCTCTAAGGTCCAACCACCGCCCGAGAGCTGATGCCACACAGAGATCGTGCACCCAACATTGACGACCAGCTTTAGTAGCATGTGCCCGTCCCGCGATGAGTACGACCCCAGGTGGAACCGGCGTCGGGCTTTGTAGCTGGAGATGGGGCTGGGGAGGCCAATCGTGCCAGGTTTCTCCATGCAGACGTCGTAGGTCAAAATCTCGCCGCCATGCCGCCCCAGCCAGTGGATGACACCGCCGTGGAGGACGACAGTGGTGGCATCAGGACCAGTTCCGAGCCACCGCTGCAGGAAGAAGTTGTCGTGGGTCGTGACGGGCCCCCAGGTGCCGGTTGATGATGCGAAGGTCCGGAATTTGATGCCACGTCCTGTGCCTCTATTGGTTGGTGTCAGACGATTTATCGAAATAGCCGACGAATAGCAGGAAGGAGCAGTCGATGCCGTCTGCGGCGGTGATCAAGACGCACTTGAGAAAGCACCCCATGTCATTCGAGATGCCTGGTGGTTCAGAGAGGAAGGTGCGGTGACCGCTGATGGGGTCGTACACGCACATGTCAGAGTCGCTGCCGACGACGTGGTGATAGCAACGGTGAAGGAGGACGAGGCGGCCACGAGACTCCATGGGATAGTACTTCTCGAAAAGATCACCGGGGTTGCGTGAGATGAAGGATGACAGATGGTCATCGCAAAACAACACGCCGGCGGGCGTGGATGGGTGCACCAAAGAGAGGGACGGCGGCGGAGCCTCCGCATCATCATGTGTCTGGAGGTAGGCGAGGATGCACGAAGGGACGATAGTGCCGTGATGGGTGACGCGGCGGATGAAAGACGGACTGAGAAAGTCATGACGAAGGAGCTTGCATAACGCGGCGCAGCGGACGAGGGTGCCCATGTCGGAGCGCGCGACGATCTCAAGTAGGATATCCGCAGGGAGCGCCCACTCCATCGCGGCCGGTGACGCCGGCGCCTCCGGCGTGCACGCGTTTTGTTGCCCGCGTACCAGCGATGCCATTTCAGTGCAACGTGTTTGAGGTCGAGAGGAGACCGTAGCTAGCTTAATTTTTCTGACAGTATATAAGACCGTAACTATATAGCTTAGCTAGAGCTAGGGACGTATTTATTGTGTAAAGCCAATTCAAGTTGAATTCGACCTGGAAGCAGAATCCACCGTAGACGGCTATCGGACTCAAACGTTACTACTCCTACAAGTCTACTTTTTTTTTAGAAACTTCTACAGTACTAGTCTACTATGAATTACAGTATAGTTCGTCCGCTACGTACTACTACGATGATAAATTAATCCCGAAATTTGCAAGGAAACGACTCTAATCGTCGTCTGCCTCTGCCTCAGCAAGTCTAAGCTGAATATAGAGACCCCCTACAACAACAACAACAACCTTTTTGTTGCACACAGAAAGATATATGACAAATTATTTCCAAAAAAACACAGCTAAGAAGTTTATATCCATTATTACTTTTTTTGAAGGGAGTTTATATCCATATTACTTATTAGCAAACGTTGCCCTTGCGTAGCAATGGCAGAAAAATAAATACATCAGCAACTCCCTTAAAATCTTTCACAATGTCATACTTGAAACATGTTTTTTTAAAGAAAGATTACCCCAGCCTTTGCATCAATATGATAGATGCATCCATATTATTAAGCAAATAGTGAACAAGGTCTGTAGTACGGTACAAACTCGCGAAAGGAGCTGAAATGCATAAAGATAAAAGTTGCCACAACCGGCAACAACAGACAAGATGACTAAACACTTAGCCTATTATTGGATCGTCATTCAAACCGGTTGTAAGTATCCCATACTACCGTCTCGTAACGGTTGCACCTAATAGCCCTATGCTCCTTGGCTTCTGCATAATTGAGTGACAACCACGTACGGATCCAGGCAGAACACTTTTTATGACCTGCAAAAGTTTTGTAAGAGTTTATCTGTTAAAGATCATATCATTTTCATAGTTCCATATAGCCCAAAGTAATGCACATACTCTGATTTGAATATGTGCCGCAATTTTGGCTCAGCTCCATTTAGCCACATAAGTAGTGTTGCCCAAAAACATAAAGGTGGGACGATTTTTTAAGTGTACTGAAATTATGTCCAATTTATCAGACAACAAAAATACCTACCTAGTTGTAGGAAACATATATAATAGACCCTTTTTAAAATACCCCATATAAAGAACAGTATTAATTAAAGGTGCATTGTAAACATAATTTTGAAATGATGAGCATGCAAGATAATATCATATTTGGGATTTTTCTAAGAGATTTCCGTATATAACATGTTAAATTTGATATTAGGTTCTGGAAGATATGAATATTTAGAAAAATACTTGAATCTGCCTAAAAAAATTAGAAAGGTTAAACTGGGCCAAAATTGCAACACCGTGCAACCCCTCTGCTAAGGGTCGCTTTGGGCAAGGCATCTCTATCTTACGCCAACCAGAATTCAAAGAGAAAGGCAAAAAATGGAGAGAGGTGGGACTCGAACTCGAGTCTTTCGATTGGAAGAATGGCTCTAGGCAGTCGGTCTATGGTTCGATTTTGTTGCTTGCTAGGATAGTTATACATGAATCAAACGGAGCGGCTAGAGAATTAAGAAAAAAAGATCATTTTTTATGACTTACCCGTGGCATTTTGAGAGTAATTTAATGACGGACGGGCAGAAACACTAATAATTCCTTTATTAATACTAGCAAATATGCCCGTGCGTTGCAACGGGAGACAAAAAATTATGGCTAACTAAATAAGTATGACTCAATATTCTAATATATGAGCGTACTCTATTTTAACATAGTGGTTCACCATGTTGCCATTTTTTTTTCTCACCCTAGCCGATGATGGTCGCGATGTTCACGTGATCACAATGCACTCGACATGGTAAATTCCAAGGCTATGAGTTTACTGGTGCATGCCACACTTGTCATTATGTTGCGCAAGGGAACGTTTAAAACTTTAAAAACAAATCTCATTGACCACGAACTACTCCCAACGCCAAGACATATAAAGACTTTTGAAGAACTAATCAAATCCTAGACATAAAATACTTTTGAATCAACAAACAGTTTTTCGAATCGACAAACATTTTTTTGTTTAAATTTTTGATTTTCTCAAAAAAAAATCATGAACATTAGTTCTGTTTACAATTTTTTTGAATGTATGAACCAGTTTCGTATTCATTAACATTTTTGACTCAACAAACATTTTTTGAATCAATGAATTTTTTTAAATTGGGGAACAAAATTAAAAAAATATTTATTATTATCATTGTGAACATTTTATAAAATTTCATGGACATTTTTTTTCAGATTCCCGAATATGTTTCAAATACACGGTCATTTTTTCAAAATCATGAACTTGATTTTATTTCCTGGCCTTTTTTTTACAAATTGTGATTTTTTTTTATATAATTTTGCGAACAGTTTTTCAAAACCACCAACATTTTTTGAACTGCAAACTTTGTATGATTTTCTAAACATTTTTTAATTCACATATATTTTATAAAAAAAATTATCAAACTCGCAACTTTTGGAGTATTAAAACCCGGAATTAAGTTAAAGAAGAAAGAAAACAGAATGAGAAAAGAAAAGACAAAAACGTAAAATGAAAATAGGGAGTGAAGCCCCGCACATGGGCCGGCCTATGAACGCATAGCGTGAGAAAAAAGAAAGATCTGTGGAAGTTGGGGATCGAACCATGGTGTCCCCGCTAAAAGAGCGATCGGCCAACCACTCGGATACTCGTTGTTCTATGATCTCTACTCGTCGCGCCCCTTTAAAATAACGAAAGAAGCGTTGATTTTTGGTCCGAAAAATCAAATCGTTTTTCCACTTACGGATGGCATTGGTGGGTAATTTTAACCAACTTGAAGGGTAATTTTAATGACGGACGATCAGAAGCGATAGCCGCTTTATTAGTACTAGCAAATAGGCCCGTGCGTTGCCACGGGAGAAAGAGAATCAGATTATGCAAATTATGCCAGAATGAGATATGGACTTTTAAAATGTCACTTCATAAAGTACGTCAAAATCATGTCACGATGAGATATGGACTTTTTTTACCCGATGTGTGTGGACTAAATAAAATAATAAAACAACCTCTCCAGATCTCCTCAAAAAGTTTATGTAAGCGATGGTATGTTTTGTTCGTTATTTACGTATCTATTTCAATGGATCTGTTTGAATTTTTTTGTGATCCTTTTCTAAAATTTCATGGTCATTTTTTCCAATTTCGGAAAGCATGTTGAATACACAAGCATTTTCTAAGAATCATGAACATTGTTTTATTTCATGAACATATTTTTCTGAAATCGAGAATTTCTTTATGATATGCAAATATTTTTTAGAAATTGCGAACATTTTGATTTCCCGACCATTTTCTGAATTCATGGAATTTTTATGATTTCTCAAAAAAAATCAAAACTCACAACCTTTTAAATTTTTGAAATCCCGAATTAATTGAAAAACGAGAAAACAAAAACAGAAATGAGAAAAAAAAGGCAAAAAACGAAATGAAAAACAGGAGTTTCTTTTAAATCATGAACATTTTATGTTTTCCAGAACATTTTTTGAATTCACAAACGTTTTATGTTTCTTAAAAAAAACTCGCAACCTTTTGAATTTTTGGAAATCCCTAATAATTAATTTATAGAAGGAAAACACAAAACAGAAATGAGAAACGAACAAACAAAATGCGAACTGAAAAAACATACGCATAGGCCGGTCCATTAACGCGGGGGCAAGGGGGAGGGTTCGCAAAATAGAGAAAAAATGGGGCAGAACCTAGGATCGAACACAAGTCTCCCTGCTGGAGGACCAAGTAAAGTATTTACAATGCTTGCCGTTCTTTGTTGACACGTTGCCGCTAGCAGTAGCGGCACACCCTCCACGTCAACAAGACCACTTACCTGGACATTATCGTCGGGCCTCGATGGGGATCAGGATTAGGGTACGCAGAACTGCGGGATAGATGGTACAACGGAGGGTAGTGCTCCCCCTTCCCAGCAGTCGTGCTAAGTGAAACAGGACGCGAGCAAGATGCACCGTTGTCGCACTCTCTCTATTCTTCATCCCTCCGTCTCTCCACCCTGTCTCACCCATGGCATCCAGATTTGAGGAATATCTTCATGGACAGCAAGCACCGCTAAGCTTCAAATATCTTCTCCCTTAAGAAATATTTCTTTCTAATATTTTACTCACTTTTAATTATTATACTCTCTCCACTCTAAAATAAGTGTCTTAATTTTGTATTAACTATAGTACAAAGTTGTACTAAATTTATGACACTTCTTTCGAAAGAAGAGCGTACATATAATGTAACAACAAACATCATCAAGTAACAATAAACAACAGCAAGTAATAATCGTCGCTCTTCCGAAAAATAAAAAATTGTAATTGATGCTAGCGCATGCATCCAGTAGCTTCTGGCCGGTACAAGACCAATTCCATTTGTTTCGTTATTAAAGAAAAGCACCGACCGGCCAGCGCCACTCCTTCTCATCCATCTACCCATCTGCTTGCCTTATCCACATCGCCACTCCTTCTTCTCACTCAGCGCTACTCCTCCTCTTCTCCAGCCACTATCACCCAGTGTTGCTCCTCCTCTTCTACATGTGTTGTGCCGACGATGCACTCCACTCTCCTGGAGTGCGCGCGGCCGTGGTGGCTGGCCAGAGCCAGGGCATCACCCCTTATCAGTGAGGAACCCATAGGCGCCATGGAAGCTCCTCTGCCATGGGTCTGATCTGGCCGTCCTGCCCCAGTCGCCGGCCCGCTCCGGATCCGGCCAGCAGCCTCGCCTCCAATCCGATTCGGACGGCCCCGCCCACAGCCTCCGCCACCTGCGACACGCCCCCCAGAGGTCCGGCCGATCCCGCGCCGCTCATCCTTGCTTCGTCCTCTGCTCGGCACTCGCGTTTTCCGCCTCGCCCCGGCCTGCTCCAAGCCACCAACCGAAGCATGTCCACGAAGTCCAACCGGCCCTCCTCCCAGGCGCGCTCTTCGTCCGTTGCCGCGTGCTCCACCAGGCACCAGCAGCTTCGTGTTGAGCCCGTCGAACTGGCGGTGCACTCGGCGCAGCTTGGCCTGCACTCCCTGCAGGTCTAGCCACGACAGCGCCGGCACGAAGTCGCTGATGTTGAACTTCCCGGTGCCGGTCAGGAGCGACACGGTCATCTCCTTGTAGCTGCTGGACTCGTCCTTGTTCCCGACCGCAGCGCCTGGGCCGATGGCCCCCCCTCTCTTCCTCTGCTCCGAAGTTGCTAGCTCGCGAGCGCCAAGGCAACCACGACCACTCTATCTTAGGGAGATCGATGCGTTCGGCTTGTTCCACTTGGGAGTTTATCCTCCTTCACATTCCATTTCACTTTCCTTTGCTCCCTCTTCCACATTACGGAGGAAATTTCGTTCTTTTCCCTTCTCCTCGGATGAAATTTGTTCTGTTCCCTTCTCCTCTGTAGGAAATTTGTTTGGTTCCCTTTACTTGAGGGTGGGCCCGGCGACGGCGGCGCGCGGCGGAAGGAGCGGCCGGCGGCGGCGCGCGCCGGATGGGTGGTGGCCGGCGGTTGCGGCGCGCGATGGATGGATGGGAGGCAAGGTCGTGGGTCTCGGGTGTTTTTTTTCTTTTCTGTTGCCCGTACCGGTTCAGGTTGACTGGATAATAGGATTGCGGGTTGATTATCAGTAAAATCAGGGTGTTTTCTGTAAAAGTTGACGACGGACGGGCAGAAGCACTCCGTGCTTTATTAGATATAAAAGACTAGTAAAAATGTTCATGCATTGCAACAGGAGAAAAAAAATCTATGATACCCCTACCAAATAAGTATGGCCTAGCCTAAAACACAATGTATGCATTATTTGGTTTGCAACTTTCATAGTTTATTCTAACTTCCACTATTTCATGATCAACTTTCACTCATATCCAAACCCATGGCCATGTTTCTTATTGCCCATGGAACCTTCTAATCCCCAATGCAACTGTCAACTGCCTTAATTTTGAATTCTTGATAGTTGAGTCACATTTTAGTTGCTCAAATAAATGTCACATGTGTGCCCATAAGTTATATTAATTATGTTGATCCACATCCTTACATTCCAGACCATTTGGATTCCATCTAAAGGGTTTTATAAATCCAAACATTTTTTAATTTTGTTCAAACTTGTCAAATTGTCATCTTCTAGAAAATCCTCAAACCAATTCCATAAAAACCTACATATTTTTTCTAAGTCCAAAAAATATGTCTCCTTGTGAGATTCCCTCTCTTTATTTTCTCAAAGTTTTTGTTTATTAGAAATTAGAGTTATTTTCTTGAGGCAAATTAGAAATTTGAAATAGAAAATAAAGAGGGATTGGGAGAGGGAACCTGCCCAGCCCAGCAAGGCCCACTTAACCAGCCTATCTTTGGCCAGCCAGCCAACACTGATCTAATCCTTAGCCCATATCCCTATCTCCACTCTCTCTGCCTCCCGACCCCCCATCTCTGAACCTATGATGTTTTTTTGCGATCTGAAAAGAGTTTCATTCCATTATAATAGGGTTACAATCGAGAGGCAAAAGATCCTCTATACATGGTGGTGTGCTACGTAGCCATACAACGGTACTACTTTCTACTCGACTATATGACGCCAACTGATCTACCATCCTATTTTGCTCATGCTTGATTTTCATGGGAATAAACTCTCTCCCTTGCATAAGGAACTTTATCTCTGCCACCAAATGATCATATGCCGATCTCGAGAGGCCTTCCCCGAACAAAGCTAACAATGCTTCCGAGGAGTCCGATTGGACAATAACAGGATCTTCAGCATGTTGCAATGCCAATGACATACCTTGCATGATAGCATGTAACTCCGCCTCAAGAGCGTTGTTGCAATTAAAAATATATCGATATGCAACGAAGATAACCCCACCGTCATGTCGTCTCAAGATCATGCCGGCCACCGCCGTGCGGTCCACTCCTAAGAAAGATCCGTCCACAGACAAAGCAACATGATTCGCTGTAGGCGCCGACCACGACAAAGTTTTTGCTGCTTTCATTCTTTCTATTTCCAGCCTCACTTCCACCACTGGCATCTTCCCTTTCATAAGCTCCTCTATACTGTATCTCCTAGACAGTTCAAGTGATAACATATAGCTTTGAAGATAATCAACAGATACTTGAACTGGTGGGACATCTTTTCCATGTGTACTGTCCGTTCTCAAGGACCAAATCTTACAAACTAGCATAATGATACAGTTTCGCTCATACTGTCCACGGCAAGCGAGTAGGTCTAGTAGCCATTCATTTCCTGTATCAATAAGTGCGGAATCATTAGGTGATGGCCAACTTTCTCTCATACGATTCCCACAATTCTCTAAACCTATGATGTTGATATGAACATTTAATTAGTGTTGATAAAAAGAGCAGATTTGGTATGCTCTTCTTGGACAGGACCAAACCTAGCTCGGTTGGCAAGGTGGTGTTCGGACACCCAAGCCACCAGCGATTCGAGCTTGACTTTTTGTGGCGTGTGCTTATTTTTTAGCACGGTATAGATGTAGACGCTCATACATACATGTATGCACTCATTCTTATGAATATACACACGCATACTCTATCCCTATGAGTATTTTCGAGAAACTGAGCTGACATATCATCTTGGGATTGACGAAGTTGCCACGGACGCTTCGCAGTCGATGGAAAAAATTTTTCTCCCACTGAACGCACATCGCCGACAAGTCTGGAATAAATCAAAAAAGATGTGAGCACGAGTGTCAAATTTAGGACATAAACTCCCGTGGGCTAAGAATGTCATTGTCCCTTAACCATCTAAGCATAGCTTGGTTCGTCATGTTCTTAAATTGAGGTGGAGAAAATCTCGTGACACTCAGATTTTTTTGACAGGACAGAGGTAGAGCTCTGCGTGGCAATTGTTAGAGTTGTGTCGAATATTATTGTACAAGGTAGGTTACGGTTGGACTTGCAATTCTATTGTGTTTAGATAGGATATGAAGTTGTGTCCTAATAGGACACTTGTATCTTAGGCCTCTCATATATAGCGGGGGTAGACACATGATGTAACCTATGCCAACATAATAGCACAGGAACGCAGGGGAAGCCGGCGGCATGTGCTGACGTCCAGGGCAACTTGGTGCGGTATTGTGACGGTGTCACGGGGAGGAGTGTCAGTGTCAAAACCGATGGATCTTGGGTAGGGGGTCCCGAACTGTGCGTCTAAGGTCGATGGTAACAGGAGACAGGGGACACGATATTTACCCAGGTTCGGGTCCTCTCTATGGAGGTAATACCCTACGTCCTGCTTGATTGATATTGATGAATACGAGTATTACAAGAGTTGATCTACTCGAGATCGTAATGGCTAAACCCTAGAGGTCTAGCTTGTATGACTATGAGAATGAGTCTCTCCCTTTCCGGACTAAGTCCCCCGGTTTATATAGACACCAGGAGGATCTAGGGTTACACAAGGTCGGTTACAAAGAAAGGAATCTACATATTTGGTCGTCAAGCTTGCCTTCCACACCAAGGAGAGTCCTATCCGGACATGGGTGCAGTCTTCGGTCTTCGTATCTTCACATCCCATCAGTCCGGCCCATAGTTAACAGGCCGGGTGCCCGAGGACCCCTTAGTCCAGGACTCCCTCGGTAGCCCCTGAACCTGGCTTCAATGACAAGGTATCCGATGCGTAGATCTGTCTTCGGCATTGCAAGGTGGGTTCCTCCTTCCAAACTCCAAGATAGTCTTCGGATGTATTGAACGTGTCCGGACCTGTAACACACACCACACACAACCGTAGAGAGAATATAATATTCCACGAGTCCAATATGCTCACAACTTTTTTACAACATGACATCACGTCTGCCCGGTCACTATATCGAACCGTTTTGTCTGCCATCCCGTGTTTTGAGATGCGATTTCCATTGGCACGTCTTGTCAAAGCAGAGATCGTGTCCCCTTATTGCGAGATTCTCATCAATACGGGCGTGGGTAACCCAACCATGCTGTTTACACAGCCCTTGGGAGTAGGCGAATTTTAAGGCGAGTGGGGAGGCGTTCGATATTTACTGCCTTTATAAGGAGATAAGAATCCCTCTTCTTCACCCACACTTTCTCTCTTCCTCTGCCTTTCCACTCTTGAGCTCTAGCGCTCAAGTTCTCATCTTCTCCGTCTCGAGCAAGCACTCAACCATGTCCGGATCCGGAGGTCAAGGCAAGTGGATGGTCTCTGATACGTCCATTTTGCATCATGCTTTTATATCGATATTTACTGCATTATGGGCTGTTATTACACATTATGTCATAATCCTTATGCCTATTCTCTCTTATTCTATAAGGTTTGCATGAAGAGGGAGAATGCCGACAGCTGGGATTCTGGGCTGGAAAAGGAGCAAATATTAGAGACCTATTCTACACAGCTCCAAAAGTCCTAAAACTTCATGGAAGACGTTTTCAGAATATATAAAAAATACTCAGTGGAAGAAGTTCACAGGGGGGCCACACCCTACCCACGAGGGTGGGGGCGTGCCCCCTACCTCATGGGCCCCCTGGTGGCCCTCCGGTGGACATCTTATGCTATATGAAGTCTTTTGATGGGAAAAAAATAATAAGCCATCTTCTCGGACGAAACTCCGCCGCCACGAGGCGGAACCTTGGCGGAACCAATCTAGGGCTCTGGCGGAGCTGTTCTGCCAGGGAAACTTCCCTCCGGGAGGGGGAAATCATCGCCATCGTCATCACCAACGCCCCTCTCATCGGGAGAGGGAAATCTCCATCAACATCTTCATCAGCACCATCTCCTCTCAAAACCCTAGTTCATCTCTTGTATCCAATTCTTGTCTCCAAGTCCGGGATTGGTGCTAGTAGGTTGCTAGTAGTGTTAATTACTCCTTGTAGTTGATGCTAGTTGGTTTAATTAGTGGAAGATCATATGCTCTAGTGGTGTCATGTGAACGTCGACTGCATGACATTTCACCATTATTTGGGCCTAGAGGAAGGCATTGGGAAGTAATAAGTAGATGATGGGTTGCTAGAGTGACAGAAGCTTAAACCCTAGTTTATGCGTTGCTTCGTAAGGGGCTGATTTGGATCCATATGTTTCATGATATGATTAGGTTTACCTTAATACTTTTGTTGTAGTTGCGGATGCTTGCAATAGAGGTTAATCATAAGTGGGATGCT